ATACATCAAAATTATCCTATATCAGGAATAGAGAACATTGATTTGACTAATGAATAAGAAGAAGGATATTTGTGTTTTTTTATTAGAGAATGTCAACCAAAATGTCAACCAGGATGGTAGTGTAGCATGATTGTTATTGATTTTAGTTCATTATACTAAATTGGACAAACATAATAGTAGGTGTTGGGAGTGTTAAAAAGTATTTTTGTTATAAGATAAGATCATAGCTTTCCTTTGGACCTTAAAATTGAATTAATTAGTTATGACTTAGCTTTGTAATTCTATACCGATGATTTTTTTCTCGATTTGCTTGCACCATCATTGTTCACTTGTCTTCTAATGAAAACAAAAGTGTACAATAAAAAAAAATTTACCGGTTCAATTCTTCACGAACATTAAAACATAATGTTCTATCAAGATTTAAGTATAACATAAGCCATTTTTATAGTTAACCAAACGCTGCGTAGATACCGAAAACTACTTTCAACTTGTGGACAAGAGAGACAAAAGGGAACAAAAACCTCTACTCAAAATTACAAAGTCTTCCTCATACAAGTTGTATAAGTATACACCATTTTATGTATTAATTAAGAGTGCCAAAGGTCCATCACATGATAAAGCAACCATTCGGATTTTCGTCGCTAAACATTTCGAATGAATCCAACGGTTGTCGTGGATACGAATCGGGATCAGAGGGGGGTGGTTGTCGTGGATACGAATCGGGATAGGAAGGTGGCTGTGGCTCGACCTCTGGCCCCGAATTCGTATAAACATATGAATGTTGGGGTGGGGCTGCATAGGACGCTGTATAGCTACTAGTAGGATATGCCGTATTGTAGCTCACGGCGTATGCGGGTGGGCGCCCATAGTGATGTAGTGGGGTTGGGTAGTCATGATAATTATGCTGATGTGGAGGAATATGATTAGCTGGATTGGAGATTAGAGGTGGGCCTGCACCATGATGCTTATCTGATCCAGTGGATGCCGGTGTAGCAGCACTCGATTTCGCTCGCTCCATGCTATTCCCATTTTGCCCTTTCTTTTTCTTCTTTTTACCAGAAGTGCCAGTCTCAATGCCATCACTACCACCGTTACTTTTCTCAGAAGCTGCGGCACTTTTACTTTTACTTTCACTATCTCCTTTCCCCTCCTCCTCCGCCGGCTGCGGTGCACTGGCTGCGCTACTGTCCGTCTCCGGCTTCTTCTCCAATTTCGACTCTGCCACTTGAACGCCGCCACTTGTTTTTACCGGACCTTCACTAACTTTAGCTGAACCACCGGCATCACTTTTTTCATCACTTTTCACTTCACCGCCGTCGACTTGAGCTGCGCCAACACTTGCTCCACCACTTTTAGCTGTAGAACCACTAGTTGAAGCACCCCCATCACCTATTTTCGCAGGATCTTGAACCGCTTCGACATTACCCGTTGGCTTCTGCTCCTTCTTAGCACCATTTTCCTGGATTTTTTGTTCATTGCTTTGTCTTTTAATCTGTTTCTCTTTGTTTCTTTCTTGCCCTGATTTTTTCTCTTTCTTCTCAGTTTTTTCAGGCCACAATTCTGCCTTCTTACCAGACTTTATCAGTTTCTTGGTTAAAGAATCTCCGTCTACGTTACCAGTTACTATTACTTTTTGTTGCTTAATATCAACTTCTACATTTTCAACACCTACACAAGGTTAAACAGTGTTAAAGACGTGCTAGATTTAAACGATTGCATGGGTCTCTCGCAAATAGATTAACCTTTTAAATGAGATGGTTAACAAACCAAAAAAATTGATTGGACTACTTAAAAAATTACCAGGAACTTGTTTAAGGATTTTCTTGACTTTTCTTTTGCAGCCTTCACAGTGAATAGAAGTTTTGAGGATCCAAGTCTGCAAACCAGAGGTTAGAGAGAATCAAAATGAAGCTACAGACTGTAGTGAAAAGGGATTATAATTCATTAATTAACAATAGTACTTTACCTTGTTTTTCATGGTCTCGAGAGGATTTTCTGCTGCTTCTTGTGTAGCCATTAGGAAGAGTATGAGAGAGAGAGAGTGAAGAAGGTAAAAGCAGAAAACGAGGGTGGTGAGGCTTTTAAGAAGAGAGGATAAAACTTCGCTTTTGGGTTTTGTGCTCAACGCATCGCATATATTTTAAAGTCATAAATTAAAGGGATAATTGCAGCTGCGGT